GAGAGAGAGAGAGAAGGGGCCTGGAGTCGTACATAGTTCCACTTGCTAGGTTCTATAAGTGACTGTTTCTGTGTTCTACACTGAGTAATAAACAGGCTTTGTCTTATACTTTAATTTAAATCTTTGCCTAACAGCATTTTTAAAGTGTCCAGAAACAAAAAAGATTAAAATGTTTCAATTTGCAGCTCAAGCTCTTGTAACTTTATAAAAAGAAATAACATTTCTAAGAAGTTGCATACAAACGACATTGTACTTCCACCAGTCTAAAGGTTAATATTGCATATTGTTTTCAATTAGGAATACAATAGATATGGCTGGTGGGTAGGAGAGATGAAGGGAGCCATTGGCTTGGTGCCGAAAGCCTACATAATGGAGATGTATGATATTTGAGAGTCCTGGGTAAGTACATTTTAATCCAATATTCTGTAATAGCTCATATGCTGTCTTGGTCTCTGCCTTATGAGTCTTTGCCTTTTTAAAAGTCTTTGTAGTTTTCTGATAACACAGAGATTATGCTCCCAAATCATCATCATCTTTTTAAAAAAACCTGGTTTAATTTAAAAAATAACTTCACAGAATTTACTTAGAAATAAATAGATTATTTAGAGAAAGTCCCTTTGATAATAGCCAGCTGTTTTTCCAAACCTCTTCCTCTTTAGTAAAATACCACTTTTATGGCCGGTTCTGAGAAACCAAATTGGCAAAAGGTTGAGTAAACATTCATTTTTCCTTGGCTAAAGATGTAATTCTTTTCTGAGCACGAAAAATCAACATTCAGACTGAAGAAAAAAATTACAATGCAACTTTCTTTCCCTTTCTGCCTTCAGGATTCTCCCACTGCTCTGCAAATGCTTTGGATTTAGCATCATCGGGAAAGCATGAGTGACAGCTCATAACCTCTCTTTGTTGAACATCATTCTTCTTCGTTATTTTATGCATTCATTATAATATTCCTCTGATGTGAAATGAAATGAAGGCTATTAATGTAAATGAGATGCAAGCAGTAAAGTTATACCTGTTGCTATTTTGCAAAGACATAATTATAGTTTTTATTTACTTATTTGATTTGTGTGAAGAATTCAGCACTATGTTATGTGTACCACATACTCACTGCTACTTATGAGTTGCAATTTTTCTTAATATTGGACATCAATTATTTTTTTTATACTGTAATACATAATTTCATAGAAATTTAAATTGAATGTATCACGCAAGCTTTTGGTAGATGCTATCTAAAGAATAAGGATGTGTTAAAACTTTGCTGATGATTTATCTTTATTTTGCACACAATAGTAACATGTTTTCATGAAAGAGATTTTACTGATTGGCAAATTTACTGCATGTTAGATATAGCCACAGGAAAGAAAAAAGTGATAGAACTGCAAGAGGCAGTGTGCTGTTACCTTCTGCAGCCCATGTGCACACCAGAACCGTGGTTTGTGCAAAGCCCTGTATCAATAACAAATATCTTGGTTAGATGATGGGCGTGCCAACGTTTACTATCATAGTTTTGTTTAAATTTAATACAATTAAAAATTCATAAGAAACCCCATTCTCCATGAATATAATGGCGTAAAGAATCTCAGTGTATTCTCAAAGTGGGAAGGCACAACCTGTCCCTCTCTTATCCTGCCTGGTGGTGGTGATGCTGTTAAAATCCCACCATAAAACAGCACAATTCCAGATGTGAGCCTCCTCTGCACACCTCAGGGCAATGAAAAAAAAAAGAAAGGCTCAGCGTGGAGAGTGTAGAAATCGCAATGATCACACACACCAACAGGTGAGTGGAAGGGTAGCTTTAGCCTGGAGTTCTAAGCTGTGCTGCCTGAGCAAGATTTGCAGAATTATATCATTACTTTTCATGTCTATTTGAAATCAGAAGTATTCTAAATGCCTATACCAGTATGGCCTTAATATAGAATATCAAAATGCACTGCTGAATGGATAATTATTTAGAGTAGATATAATCTCCTCATATTGACTCACTGATTAGTAGTGTAGGTGCTACCTTCATTGAACTTTTCAGATCTTTGCTTTATAAAGATAAAGATTCTAACCATGCAAACAAGCTGATAATATTTTAAAACCTTCATTATTTACATAAAACTATTGACAAGCAATATTTCAGAGTGTGTATGTTACCATTATCCCCTCAGTACCATGATCATGTGATTTGAAATGTTAAAAAAAACTAAGTTTAGCAACTGTGGGTAAACCCTAGTCTATATAAATCAGACATTGTTGAGCTAAAGCTTTCAGAAATTGATCTGTGCATTCGTTCATCTTTTCCTAATAGCGAGCCCTTGGAATAGATTGAAATCATCTTGAGAAAAGTAAGACAACCGGAGATGAAACTAATGGACTGGTTTTCAAAGCCTGGGAGGTTGCAAAGCAGAAGCAGTTGTGGGTTTGCACATGTAGACTGCTGGTGGACTGGATACAGGTTTCACGCTCCTGGTTAAAGCGAAGGTTTTAGCCCTGGGCCAGGAGATGGCAGCAGCTTTTCATTGCAGACCAAGCTGCTTGGAAACCCCTCCCCCACCCAGGCACAAACACACAGACCGTAAAGCATTTAGAACATTTCTGCCTCCTTTTACAGTTAATCCAGGAGAGGGAGTCCTTTGCCAACTGATGGCCAACTATTCTAAGCCAGACAGCCTCTCCGTGAATGGTGACAATACAGAAATCAAGCGTTACTCCTGTCCAGAGCTCTTCTGGCCTTTGTTCCTTTTTTAACTTGAATCTAGGTGGGGAGACAGGAAAGAAAACAAAAGATTTAAAACTGAGTGACAGGAAAAGCGATCATTACTTTCAATTCATGACAACTTGACATGCATTGGCGAAATCATTTGTATACTACTAGGGAGAAAGTTTTCTTTACCCCCTTGACAATATATCACACACTATTCAAGATCATAATAATATCATTAATGTGAATTTAAACAACAGGGCTTGTTAGAAAATACGCTAATTGCTATGTTCTCATTATGTTTGCTTAGCTTTTATTTGTTTTTCTATGAACAGTTAGAGAGCTAATTTTTTTCAAAGGTGATTGTAAGTCATATTTTATATAGCATTTTGCTTGATTATTTGCTCTGTACTGAATTTGTACTCTATTGCCATTAGATCTTACAATAATGTTCCACTCTGCAAATTTTTAAGGTTCAAATAAAGTTTAATTGTTTGCAAACTGTTATGATGCTAATAATTCAACAGCCTGCTGTGTTACTAATGAAATTACTTTGTTATGATTAATTTGGAAAATAGTGTGTTGATTGTAGTAATTAAGCACAACAAGGTGAAGTAAATGATTCTAATGCCATCTGGCCTCCAAACTGAATGAAGAAATGAAATAGGGCTGTCATCTGAATTTATTCAAAGAAGTAAGGATAGTACAAATGACTTGCATTGCTGTAAGGATTTACACTTAACCACAGCTCGCTCCATTCTATTTTTACCACTGTTGCATGTGACACTTCCTTTTATGAAAAAGAATGCTGTTGAGTCTGGCAATTGTTTTCAATACTTTATATTATTTTAAGTTGATTACTTTTACCTTGTGCTAATTTAATTACATAAAGTATTATAGGATCATAGAAAACCACTTTTCAACCATTCTGTAGGTGAAATCTATATATGTGGGTTTTTTTTTCTTTTGCTACTAGTGTACAAACATGTTGACTTTCATAAGGAGAGTCCGTTCAATTCTTTCTAAAGTGTTTCTAGTTAAGAGTCTCTGATAGTTCTTATGATTTCTACGTTTTCTGTACTTCCTCCAGTCTAATCTGTTTCTACTCACTTCATAGAGTCTGGTACCTTTCAGGGTTCCAGGGTCATGATTAGAAACACGACCTACAACCGGGTCATATATTAAAGATCCAGATTTATAGGTCAGTCACTATAAGAAAGCCAGTCCTAACATGCATGTTATTTAAAAGCTTAAAGTTCATCAGTGAGACTGATTGAAGAATTTTTAAATCAAGTAAAGTAATTCTGAATTTCAGGTAAGGCAATTGTGTATATATCAATTGTTGAGTGGAATTATACATAACAAACTGTGTAGATTTCACTTTTACTTCTCTTGAGTTCAGTAGATTTAAGAATATTGAAAAGCAGTCCCTGTGGTAAAAAGAAGGAGGTATGGTGGAGATTGAAACTGGATCAAACCCTAGGAAACACAGCTTCACTCAGAGGTTGAAGGAATATAATTAATACGTAAAACATAAAACCATTTCTTAAAATGGCCTCATTTGTTAGTAAAATCCCGAGTATTCCGAAATACAGAGAAACAAATAGTATATTATTAAACTGACTGTCTACAAACTTAACCTACACTCAAGCGCATCCACTGAAGACAGTCTGAACTGGGAACAAGGACTTTGTGACATCCCCACCCTCAGCCCACGTTATCATCCACAGCCTTGTCGTTAGTCCTTCTAGAATATCTGTTAGAACTCCTGATAAGGGTAACATTTTGATGTGATGAGGTAAATACTTAACAAAAATTATATAATCACAGTAACGGGACGACATCTCACTACTACTGTGTTTAAGGGGCCTTTTCTGCTGCTTCTCCTAGAGCCTGCTGTGTCTTTACTCGGTCACACACATGGTTTATTGCCAGTGTGGTACTTCCGAGTATACGGTATGGGTCCAGCGACTATGTCTCAGTTAACTGATCTCAAGGCCTGAGGTTTAAGAAGAGCTTGACTTCTCTAGCTGGCAGTACATTGGCTTGAATCAGTCAGGGCATTGGCTTTCTGACTGACAGCATTCTCTTAGTCCAAAAGTCAGTCCCTTTTACTGAGTCTAAAAGCAGTTTCATTGTCCCCATAATACCATCAACAAGTGGATTGGATTGGATCGTTGGTAAGTGAATTGAGTTGAGTGCGGCGGCCAGTCTTTTTAGATGTTTCCTCCCTTCCTTTTCCAGTATTCGTGTTGTCACTCTTTCAAACAGGACACAGGTGACTCAGGCAGCTTAGGGCAAGCGACCTAGCTTCGCTTCCCAGCACACCCCAAATCTCTGCGGTCCCCTGCATGCCACCTGGGCAACATCAACAGCCTCTCTGATCTCGGAAGCATTCAAGCTGCCACCTCAGATGGATCAAAAAGGAAGTTCTGTAAGTTTCACAGTGTTTGCCAAATCCAACCATAATCCATTTTCTTTTTTTGTTTTTTAACCTCTACTCCCCAACTCTTTGAAGTGGTCCGATTATGTTGAGTACTGTGGTCCCCAAGATGGCAGGAACCCTAAGTGCAGAAAGTGGCCTTAGTTGTACCCAGTTGTGCTCAGTTTGGGTCTCTCACGTTGGGAAAGAGGCTGGAGGTTGAGCACGACAAAAAAACATGTGAAATATGTGTGGAGGTGTGAAAAAGAAATTGCCCCCAAAGCCCGTCTCTTAAGTGCTTTTCTTGATGTCGGAACATTGGAAAATGTTTCCTTAGGTTTCTATCTTCACCATTTTCACAGTTTTCTTTCTTATTCACCATTTCTCAGTGAGGTTTACTGGCCTCAACTTTGTCCTAGAAAACTCACTCCTGCTAGAGTAAAAGCAGGTGACATTTTGTAGCTTGAGCCTCTTATTTGAGGAAGTGGTCACACAGGTTTTTTCAAAGGACAAAATTAATGACAGCAACATATGCCAATTAAAATGGCTGCTTTAGAGGAGGAGAAAATTCCAACAAATAAGCTGATTCCCATACACGGCCTCCCCCTCCCGGCTTCCCTGGGCGTCCATTTAGAAAACCTTGTGTTCTTTAACTATCACGTCAAAATGATGATAATTTAAGACTAGGAATAGCAATCGCTAACATTAACTGTTTACTACTGGTCTTGCTGTGCACTTTTCATTCAGCCTTCTAACAACCCTATGAGGTAAGATTTGTTGTTTATTCCCATTTTCCTGATTAGGAAACTGAGGGCAAGTAACTTATCCCAAGGTCCAGGTGTAATAAGTTACCCAGCCTCCCTCCCTGAAATTCAGCTTCCCAGTACTGTGACAAATGCAAACCAAATACTTTATTCTTTGTATGTAGCAGGCACTCAAGAAAAACACATTGACCATTCTTATAAAATAGGCTGGAGCATGTGAGAATAGTTCAAGGTTGGAGAGTCGGACAGTTGAATCTGCCTCAGTTACAGTGGACTGTGTGAGTGTAAAAAACCCCAAGCAGCGAATCCACCATGGAGAAGAAACTTTAATGCAGGGATATTTCTCTCCACAAACTTCCAGTCTGACTGAAAAATGGGCAGTCAGTCCAGGCAACAGAGGGTCTAGAGAGCACACCCGGCCAAAAGGACCCTTTTCAAATGAGCTTTTCCTACCTCCTCCACCTCCTCAGTCCAGCCCAAGGGCACAGGCCAGCGAGAGAGGACAGTAAAGCTGGCTGCTCCTGTCTCAAATAATTTTCAATTATGTAGTTGTTTTGGGGGGTAGAGTTTAAATTGTGTTTTTTTTTTCATCAGTTTAAAGGATTGTTATTAAACTGTTCAGGCCTTTACAATCAATGAGCAAATTTCATTATGAAACTTGTGTAGTTTTGAAACTGAGTGACGGCAATGTCTGACATAAGACTTTTGTTGAGATATGAATTCACTTCGGGAGAACTTCTATTGGCATATCTGGCACTTAAGCACGAGGTCTTATTCCTTAGGTACCTATGTGGTGCCTTGTACAGGGCTTCATAATGAATCTTCTATTGTGTTTTTTGAACAAATCTTTTTAAAAAACCTGTAGTTCAGTGATTGGAGGCTGGCAAGGTTGGGGGCATGGGTGATAAGTAAGAACTACATTTATTACGGGGCTCTGGAACTTAGCGGAGGGGGTGGGGGTGGGGGTAAAGATTGAGCCCCCTTGTGGCCTAAAGTGCAGTCTGAAGTATGGCTATCTTACAGCCCTAAACAAGAGGATGTGCTGAAGCCTGCTTTTCAAGGAGTACTTCACTCTGCATCATACCCTGAAATGTTTCCATGCCTGGTCCTCAGAATATCATGCTTCTAAAGGGCAGGGAGCAAATGACTGCATTGTCCTCATCTCCAGCTGCCCACCAAGTTGATCTTGTTGGTGTACAGTGACCTGACCCGTCCAGGTGGGTAGACGACTCATGCCTAATGCCC